CGATAACTTATATTTTGCAGAATTATTATTTACAAATACAGCAATATTGGCGGGACTAACAGTTTAGTTCGTTTTGGTTGTAATTTGTTAGTTGTGCTGGAGCGAGGAATTCTAGAAAAGGGGATTGAAAAATGCTATGCTAACATCTGCCACTTGTCAGGAGGATTCCACAATGTAGAGATACACAAAAAAATAATTTTTACCCTAATTACGCAATATAATTTTTAAAGAAGTGGATTCAATCGAACCTCCTTCCAAATAGGTAGCTCAGCCACTGCTAGTGAGCTGTGATTAATTTTGTCATTCTATTGAGAGTGTTCCAAGTTGGTTGAGGGAATGAGTTGTTGACTCTTATTTTATAGTCTTGAACAATCCTCACCTCGTGAACTAGCTGTACGGTTGAGTTAGAGCCAATATCTATTCTCTTCCAATGATATCAAAGCCGTAGTCATTCCTACTTTTCGTTTAATCAATGTTGGGATTCCATGTTATGTTGTCACGCATCATAAGTTCAACACGTCCGTATGTTCAATAGTAGGTGTGATGTGATGTTGAGTCTCACACATTGGTTGAGATGATGAGTTGTTATATCCTTATATGGTCTTAGGCAATCCTAGCTTCATAAGCTATCTTTCGGCATTGAAGATCCAAGGTCCATTTTTTTTTTGGCACACTCTTGTTCATGTTACTATTTACCTTATGTCGGTTTTCTTATTGCTCTATTATTTTGTTGTTGTTATTGTTCTTGTCTTCATTATTTTCAACATGGCTTCTTCACTATTGTTTTTCTTTTTAAATCTGCTTAGAATTGCTTTTCTTGAGCCAAGAGTCTACCACAAACAACATTTCTACCTCCACAAGGTAGGGGTAAGGTCTGCGTACACATTACCCTCTCTAGACCCCACACTGTGGGAACTAGTATACTGGGTATGTTGTTGTTGTCGTTGTTGTTGTTTATGTTACTATAATTTCAACTATTCTCATGGAGATAATGAGGGATGTCAAAGATATCTGGTAGCATTTCGTGCAACAGATCACATTATGAAATGCTATAATTTAGAGGCGCCTGTCTTTAATCTTCATGTGCTATCACCATGCATTCTTGCCCCTCCAATTAATTTACATCAGGTGTGATTGTAAACTGGTTATCTCCATAGCTTAACTTCACCTGTTGCAGAGTTCAGGGCTGGCATCATGTACATTTCAGAGGATAATGATCTCAATCAGCCCTTAAAATCAAACATGTTTTCTTTGAGTGGGACCGGGTTTTTTGGTGCTGTTGGCCGTAGCATAAACTTGGGTAATTTCTAACCTTTTGCTTTGTATGCTATCTATGCCTACAGAATATAATTCATCAAGCTATTTCATATGATAGGAGGTCAAACTGCTCTAGCATTACGAGTCTTGCTGGCGCTTTTCTCTTCAAAAATGTCTGCAGGTGTTAATCGTCCTTTTGGAGATGAGGTAGTTCTCTATAAGATGTTCCTTTTCACAACTAGGATATTTCCAGAGGCTTAACGAAGTTTGCTGTTTCTAATTGCAGTTTCGTGCTGCTCGAAAGGCTGCTGAGGACATTGGTGCTCAAATAGTATTGGGGGATCGACCAATAGAAATAACTGTATGCCGCACTTATATTTCCATTTCCTAGGTTAAATTTGGATTTAGTGAAGTGGTAAATTTACTTTCTCTCTTTATTTGACAAGTTGGAACAACGATTCATATGACTTCTCTTTTATATATTAGATGGATGGTACTACATGGTCTTATATGTAAAGCAAGAGAAGTTAATCTGCTCTATGCTTACGTTTGTCTGAGTGTCCTCATGGGATGTGCTATTTTATCTTACCTGTAATGCTAGATAGTTTATTTTTATTTGCTTCTGTGTTCAGCTTGAACGAGCATGGACTTCGCTAAAGTGGAATGAGAAGATGAACTTGATGGTCTCTGTCTTTAGCGGAATTACCTCATCTGCTGAACTATCAACTAAGGCATTAAAGGTTTTTCCCCCATCTCTATGAGATTTCTCTGGATACTGACGATGATTGTTACTTATCAAGTTTTTCAACCATTACCTCTTACATGCATAGAACTTTGATAGCAAATTAATTGGCTGGCAGAACCTAAATGGCATTATCATATATGCATTTTCGTCCATATTTTCTTTAAGTAGCAGTTACAAAAATTGATGCCTGGAGGACCATCCTCCCTCTCCAACACCACCACCCCAAAGGGCCAAAACGAAAAGGAAGAGAGCAGTTTTTTAACTTCTCTGTCTTTTTTAAGGGTTTTTCCTGTTCTCTGCTCTCTTCAGGCGGCAAGTTGTGCTGGTAACATACATGCAGTGCCATTCTATCTTACATGGTTGCCTGTACGTTATCTCTCCATAGATTCAAATTCCATTTTCTTTGTTTTCTGTGTTGTTGCAGGAATCAAATTCTGATGATAGCAACTTTCAACTGTATGAGAAGCTAAGCTTTACATATCCATCTCTTCTACAGCCACTCCTACATGAACGTGACACGGTTAGTTGGTCTTCCCTTAAATTTCTCTAGTAATCTAGAACAAGCGCAAACATCTCATTGGGAGAACGCATAGCTCTTTAGTAATGAATGTCATGGCAAAATTGGCACTGGTTTTCAGATCAAATTGACCTGAGAAGTGCCGATTAATTTATATATCCATTAAACCATATTTGGTCAAACTCCTTTTATTTTCCCCAATTGCTAGTGACAGTCTTTTCTGTTATTTCCATGTGATTGTTACTATAGTTTCTTGCATGGTCTCTGAAGAGGAGTAAAGCTGTGAACAAAAGTAAGCAAGTGCTAGGGATAATTGGGAAGGGCCACATGAATGGAGTTATATATTCTTTGGTGTCTGATCAAGGGAACTTGCGCTTTCGAGATCTAGCTGGGAACAAACCTTCAAAGCAGCTCTCTGGCTGGGCTACTACTATATTTGGAAACTTGCTAAGAGACACTGCAATCGGTTTCCTACTATGGCTCTTATATGAAAAAATAACCAGTGGATTGAAACTTATTGATTAAACTCTAATACCAACTTCCAGGCTTCTTATACACTCAACTTACACAGATGAATACTTGTATCTGGACAGCCATTAGGAAACAAGATCGACTCCAATTTTGTGAACTATTTCTCAAGCAAGATAGCAGAGTCATCGAAGAGTTGTGAAGAATGGAATAGTTAACATCTCTCATTTTAAGTTCTTCGATGGTAATATAATGTCTTTTCAAGAAATGTGCTTATAGTCTTCAAATAGTTAAAGAAGATGCTGAGCTACAATATAGTATATTCTAGTGGAAATCCTTCTATATTAGGAAAGTTCACTGATGCTTGGTTGGATTAATGATAAGGAAGATTCCTCTTCCACAAAATACTTGTTTCCCAGTGTTTGGTCACAATAATACTGATTGATCTGAATGGTAGATGCTCTATCAAAAGCTTAGCTTTTTATTGTCAATTCTCAAGATGTTAGACTTAAAAAAGAACGGATCCGTAATTGATGATTATGTTCTGAGACCCGCAGAGTAAGATGGGAAACAAACTTGCAATAGAACATGATTTTAGGAGATATTAAGAAGTTCTTTTCATGTTTGTGGTACTTCGTAAAGAGGATAAGGGGAAAAAGAGAAATTAATCATTTCTTTGTCATAATCTGGTGAAGGCAATACAATAGCCTGTCTCAATGTGCAAGCAAATTCTCGTAAATAGAAAATAAATTACTTATTCCCTCCGGTCTATTTTAATTGATTTTTTTGTTATTTTCAAATATTAATGAATTCATCTTTTAGCATTAATTAACAATAAAATGAACCATATTAATCTCAATTTGTTTATTAGAAATGTAACAAATACACCTAGGCTCTTTACTCAAAGGGCAACTTAAAAAAAAAGGTTACTTCCTTTTTGGCTATAGTAAAGCACAGTACAACTATAAAAGCATGGCACCGAGCCTCTAAATGCTCATAAAACATTAATGGGCTTCAATTTCTTGGTTCGTTCATGCACTTGCCAAACCAACTTATGTTTAATTTCTACTCAAAAGAATACTTTACAAGCTAAGAACCATTTAGAAAAGAAACGGTTAGCCCAGAAGATTGTTGGAAAGCTGATTCCGAAACATTAGAAGCTCAAGTATCGGGAAAGAACGTGTGGAATAGGGATGTGAAAAAGAAGAAACAGTCCTAGACCTTATTTTAGCGGTTTAAAAAATAGCTATAATATTATTGTGTAGCATTAGAAGCTCAGCTAAAACCATTTAGCTGTTTAAAAAACAGCTCAAGTATCCGGTACACTGTGCCATACACGTGATAAATTGTTAGAATTTCATGTTGTATCAACCTAGCTATCTTGTTACATAACTTACAAACTCTACCAGGTTGTCATAATTTTAAAACTACGAACAAAGAAGAGGAAAAATACATGTTACAAAGAAGAGGAAAAATACATGTTGGAAGAGTAGGAGGCAAGTTACGACAAAACAGTAGGTGTTTACTGAAAAAATCGGATAACGTTAGATTTTGTGTATGGTTCTAAGGATATGCAATACAATTCGATATAAATCGTGTAGAGAAATAGAGATACATATATTCTTGACTGTGAAAATGCAAATAGTGGGCAATAAGAATGAATGAGATAAAGTAAAGCAAACACAAAGGGATATCTTTCAATCTAAGTAGTGATTTTTTGTCTCTCTTCCTTTTAGCTTACAAGGATCCCCCGTTTATAGAAGAGGGTCATTATAAAAAATAATAAAATAAAACATATAGTGGAAGGCCCATGATGACTTGTCTCTTCCTTGATTCCCGCCAAGATTCTCTCTCTTGGTGCGGTCGCAACGGCTCTTGTCTGTGAGCTCGATACTGGCTCGAACTCGTTACTGGGTCGGACCCTACGGTCTTGGCTCGAGTTTGACCTTCGAGATAGGCGTCGCGTATTTCCGACCTCGAAGCAGTGCCTTGCGGATCGATTCGGTCACGGGCTCGATAGGATTATCGAGCCGACTCCTCGAGCGACCTTCGGGCTCGAGACTCGTTAGTACCGACTTCGGAGCTCACTCCCAAAAATCGCATTCCGACTTTTTAACACTCGAACTCGGTCGAACGTAGGAAGGCCGAAATCTATTTCGACCGTATACAGATAGTCCCCTCGTTTCTCACGAAGGATGCGGTGAGAATCGATGTGATTTTTGGTGGTTCGATCGGGTCTTAAGCCGACGTTTTCACAGGAATCGATTATGACGTATGTGATAGCTGTCCTATCGATTCAACCTTTCAAGGTATTTAATACTTGTCAGATGGCGGTCGGCCATCTGTGATATTGAACCGTCACGATGCGAGCCTATAAATAGCTCTTCCATCTATCATTTACTTCTTTCACACGTTCACTCCCCCAAATTTTCTCATCTTTTCTTCCTTTCTTGTTGCTACCAGAGTTTTGGTGTCGTCAATTTTTCACTTTTCTTTGTCTTTCTTCCTCCCATATCAATGGCCAAGACTTCGAAAACTATGCCTCAGAAGGAGAAAGCTTCTTCTTCATGGCCGTCCGGTGACAAGGTGCCGGTGGAGTCGTCCACCTATGACTATATTCCCGGCCCGTGTAGTCTAAAGATCGATTTTAAGGTTGAAAATCTGATAACGACAAGGTCGGGAATCCAAACTAGAGTAAGAATTTGAAAAGTAAATGCGGAAGC